GTCTACAGTTCACTAGGCATTTAAGCACATATGACTACGAATTCTTCTTTAACTTCTCAGATGATTATATTCAATCCCTTCAAAGGGATTATACACTTTTGGAGATCTAGGACTAAGCCCCCTATTCCATTTAATTCACCATTTATTGAGCAACCTCTATGTGCAATGTCATAAAAAAAAAAAGTGTTGCGAGTACAAGATGAACTCAAGCATGACACATGAACACGTAAAATATTCCCCATGGTACCTTGGCAAACTTTACAAATACATTACATTTTCAAATTGGTTATTTGGACTTCAATTGGTCATCTTCAGCCACGATTCAAGAATATACCTCCTGTCATATACAAGGAGTAAAATACCGTGGGTGGGCATGCCTGCCACAGTCTATGCAGACACCCTGGGCTTCTCTGCTGCTGTCATATCATTCCCCTTAGAGCCCTCCCTTCACCCAGTCTTATTCTGGATGCTGGTTTCTGCCCCTGACGCTGATCAGATGCTTTCCTCATTTCTCACCATCAAAGACATTAGGATCAAGATCAGAGAAAAGTTTTTACCTTTCTTTGTAAACGTCACTGGAGATTTAATGCTTTAGAGACAAGAATAGGGGTAGCAAGGTAGAAAGGAGAATGCTGATGATAAAGCACAGTATTAATATCACCTAAATCTACTCCTACCCAAGCTGAGCTTGGGATCCGACCTCTTCAACCCAGGCTAGTATTTATGGACTCCTTCATTCATTTACGTAACTCAGAACAAGAAACTGGGGATAAGAGCATGAGTAAGGCAAGGGCCTCTGCCCTGGAGGAATTCCCTGTGGGCTTGAAAAGGTGGCATGATGGCAGAAAAGGGAACACTGCTTCTGACATCACTGATTCACAGCCTCCTATTAGGGCTGACCTTGCCACAGAGGGGCCCGGACTTCCCCCCAGGTGACAGATCATTATTTTCAAGAATGGAAAGGCCCATCACACAGCAGAAGAATTAGACAATAGCACGGGAGATGAGCTGCAGAATTCATAATATGAATTGTATAATAATCATTATTTTCAAGAATGGAAAGGCCCATCACACAGCAGAAGAATTAGACAATAGCACGGGAGCTGAGCTGCAAAGGGCAGAATTCATAATATGAATTGTATAATAACTACAGATATTCACAGATCATCCCCAGCATCTTGATCTGAGTTACATAAATGAATGAAACAGTGAATAAATACCAATCTTGGTTTAGTATGTTGGATCCCAAGCTTAGCTTGGAGAGGACTAGATTTAGAGGATTCTAATACAGTCATGCTTCACTTAACAACGAGGATACATTCTGAGAAATGCATTGTTAGGCAACTTCATCATTGTGCAAACATCACAGAGGGAACTTTCACGAATCTAGATGGCACAGGCTACTACACACCTAGGCTGTATGGTATAGGACATTGCACCTAGGCTACAGATCTGTACAGCACGTTACTGTACTGAATACTGAAGGCAGTTGTCATACAACTGTAAGTATGAGTATTTGTGTATCTAAACACATCTAAACATAGGAAAGGTACAGTAAATATACAGTATAAAAGATAAAATATGGTACATTTATGTAGGGCACTGACCATGAATAGAGCTTGCAGGACTGGAAGTTGCTCTGGGTGAGTCCGTGAGTGGTGACTGGTGAGTGCATGTGAAGGCTGAGGACACTGCTGTGCACTGCTGTAGACTTTATAAACACTGTACACTTAGGCTACACTAAATTTATAAAAAAAAAATTCTTTCTTTCATCAATAATAAATTAGCCTTAACTTACTGTAGCTTTTTCACTTTATACACTCTTTAATTTTTTTAACTTTTTGACTTTTTTTAAAAAAATCAACTTATTTATTAATATTATTATATTTTTACATTCTAAGAAGATGTTGCAGAGCTGTTGTGGGGGAGGGGAGGGGGAAGGCAATAGGGTGAGAGGAGGAGGAAGGAGGCAGGGCATGGTCGAGGCCTGAGGCACCCCTCTCATTCTGTCAGGGGAGACCAGGGGGCTTCCAGCAGCGGTTTGGTTGTTGCTGGCTGGATGCAGATCAGGGGAGTATGGCTGAAGCCCTTGGCCCCCCACTGCCCCAGCTCAAGAGCCCACGGTTTTTCCAGTAGCAATTCAGTGGTCATCGCTGGGCTGGCTGCAGGTGTCAGGGGNATTATTTTCAAGAATGGAAAGGCCCATCACACAGCAGAAGAATTAGACAATAGCACGGGAGATGAGCTGCAGAATTCATAATATGAATTGTATAATAATTACAGATATTCACAGATCATCCCCAGCATCTTGATCTGAGTTACATAAATGAATGAAACAGTGAATAAATACCAATCTTGGTTTAGTATGTTGGATCCCAAGCTTAGCTTGGAGAGGACTAGATTTAGAGGATTCTAATACAGTCATGCTTCACTTAACAACGAGGATACATTCTGAGAAATGCATTGTTAGGCAACTTCATCATTGTGCAAACATCACAGAGGGAACTTTCACGAATCTAGATGGCACAGGCTACTACACACCTAGGCTGTATGGTATAGGACATTGCACCTAGGCTACAGATCTGTACAGCACGTTACTGTACTGAATACTGAAGGCAGTTGTCATACAACTGTAAGTATGAGTATTTGTGTATCTAAACACATCTAAACATAGGAAAGGTACAGTAAATATACAGTATAAAAGATAAAATATGGTACATTTATGTAGGGCACTGACCATGAATAGAGCTTGCAGGACTGGAAGTTGCTCTGGGTGAGTCCGTGAGTGGTGACTGGTGAGTGCATGTGAAGGCTGAGGACACTGCTGT